TACTCGGTTTCATGGTACTGCGCCTGCGTGGAGTTGGGTCTGTTTATTGCATGGATGTAAAGGTCGGGACCGGGACACACCAAACTGACACCAAAGAACACGGACCCGACTGTTGTGTCACCTCACGTCTCCTGCGTCCTCGCCAAAAAGTCGCACTGGAACAACACACCCAGAGCCGTATAATAGAATAATAATCTCTCTATATGGCGCTGAACACACCGCAAAGACTTCAGCCGACGGCCAAGTAGCACGTACGCACTGCGCATGCGTGAGTGGCAACAATTCAACATCGTCAACATGGGAGAGGAGCAGAGCAGCAGAGACAGTCGGCAAAAGAAATCACTCTGATTGGCTGTTCAGCTTAGCGAATCAGTGCATGAGAATCGAAACGGAAGTGAGGTACGCAAAAAAACGATTAAGAAGGCACACACAGTCACAGACCGCTATTATTTTTCATTTTCATCTCACCTGGACGCAATAATTTATTTTTACGTCATGGCGATCTGGAATGAAGAAATCGAAGACCAACTCATCAGCTTGATTCAGGAGAGGCCAGCTCTGTACGACATTACAGAGAAACTGTACGTGAACCGAATAGTGAAAACCGGACTCTGGCGAGAAATTGAAACTCAACTTGTTTTACCAGGTAAGATTCTCTCTTTTTTTCATCAATTGAGCTCTTTAGCAGAAACTGTTGGTTTGTTATTGTTCGCCAGCGTACAGTGACGTTAACGTGAAATATAATTTGTTATTTCAACCTTGTGTTTTGTTGTTGTTTTTTGCTAGCTGTTGCTACTTGTTTGGCACTGCATATAGAGATATGAATTGGACAACATGCTAACTAGCCACAATGCTTAAATTGTTTATTTGTGTGCTTCAGAGAAAGAGCTAAAGAAGAAGTGGGATTCTCTGCGAACCCAGTACACCCGGTACAGGAAACTTTCCCCTTCGTGTAGTTCTGGAGCACCAAAGACTGGCAGACAGCAGTGGATCCTGACCAGGCTGCAGTTTCTAGAGCCCTACACAAGAAGAAAGGAGAGTACTTCGAACCTCACCATCACGGTAACAATTGTATTTGTTGAGTACAAATAAGTGTTTCTTGATTCTTTCATTTAGAAACATTATTTCATTCATTTACAGTGGTAAATATAACAATAACAGAATAATATATATATTATTGTATTATATAATTATTGATGGATTAATGTGCTCATCACCTTAATGTTGCAGCTGGTAAAGGAGGAGCTGATTTAAATTGCATTATATACTACTGGGTAGCTTATGAAATTCACCATGGGATCAATAACGTGTTTATCTTAACCTATAATAATACATGATAAAATATTTCTTGATTATATTTTGTATTGTTCTGAATCTTCAAAGTTACTAAAGTTATCAAATAAATGTAGCGCAGTATAAAGTACACTATTTGCCTGAATGGGAAAGGAGCAGTACAGTACTTAAGTAAATGTACTTTGTTACTGTCTACCACTGTTCCTTGTTCAAGATTGAAATGTAAATTTGCAAGACGGTTTCTGCCCCTCTATTCGCATGTAGCATTTCACACGTGATGGTGGCTTCATTCTTCCATTATCTTCCACAATCTGTCTAGAAGTGTGTTTTTAGCATCTGAATAGAGCCATCACAATTTGTTTACAATGTGCCTCTCACACTTGACCACACCCCGAACAAATGGCACACACATTTCTGGGAATTGTTTTGTTATGAATGCTTAGTAAACAGTTTAAAGAATCCTTGGTATTAAATCCAACTAATTGTGAATTTATTCAAATTAAGGAACTTCTGGTGGCTGCAGAACCACCCTCCGATGGCACCAGCAGTGAAACCTGGACCAGCACCCCTGAGGAGCCCTTCCTCTTTGATGCTGAGTCAAGGCCCTGCACTCCCCTGGCAGAATCCCCCATCTGTGGAACAGAGTCCACACTAGCACCGCTCGGAGAGGGGCCAAGCACATTCAGTCACTCAAGCACTCCAAGGCCTCGGGTGAAGCGTAGCAGGAAGATGCTGGATGAGTCCACCAGTGAGGCGTCAGAAACGTTGATGCGCAAGATTGGCAAGACCCTGGAACATTTAACGTCGAACGGTGAACATAATGACTACATCGCGGCCTACTCAAAAACCTTTGAACACAGACTGCGGCAGTTGCCACGTAGTTTGCTGCCACACTTCCTGCATGAGGTGGACAATAGCTTCTTCAAGTATTTGACGGACAAGACCATGGAAAATGAAATTAGAAAGAGGTGGCTTGTCTCCGACGCTAGGCCGAATTTACCAGATACGCTCAAAATGTCCCCCCCCCGATATATAGCCTAAATGATTACATTTTTTAAAATTAAATTGCTATTCTATGACCTTTTTTTTTGTTGGTCCCCCCCAATGTTGACTCCATAGTTACAGCCTTGCACCGACTGTATATAAAGGTTGTCTCTGATAGACGTATATTATTGGTCTTTTTACACTAATGACATGTCAAATTTAGAATGAGACAGAATGAAAAAACACGTCTTGTTTGTTGTTTTGTTGGTAAGGATGTCAGTTGTAAAATGATCTGTTCAAGTCAATAAATCACAAGATACATGGCCCCATTCATTCTTTCCTTTACACGGATCAGTCGTCCTGGTCCCTTTGCAGAAAAACAGCCCCAAAGCATGATGTTTCCACCCCCATGTTTCACAGTAGGTATGGTGTTCTTTGGATGCTACTCAGCATTCTTTCTCCTCCAAACACGTCTAGTTGAGTTTTTACCAAAAAGTTCTATTTTGGTTTCATCTGACCATATGACATTCTCCCAATCCTCTTCTGGATCATCTAAATGCTCTCTAGCAAACTTCAGGCGGGCCTGGACATGTACTGGCTTAAGCAGGGGGACACATCTGGCACTGCAGGATTTGAGTCCCTGGCGGTGTAGTGTGTTACTGATGGTAGCCTTTGTTACTTTGGTCCCAGCTCTCTGCAGGTCATTGACTAGGTCCCCCCGTGTGGTTCTGGGATTTTTGCTCACTGTTCTTGTGATCATTTTGACCCCACGGGTGAGATCTTGCGTGGAGCTCCAGATCGAGGGAGATTATCAGTGGTCTTGTATGTCTTCCATTTTCTAATAATTGCTCCCACAGTTGATTTCTTCACACCAAGCTGCTTACCTATTGCAGATTCAGTCTTTCCAGCCTGGTGCAGGTCTACAATTGTGTTTCTGGTGTCCTTTGACAGCTCTTTGGTCTTGGCCATAGTGGAGTTTGGAGTGTGACTGTTTGAGGTTGTGGACAGGTGTCTTTTATACTGATAACGAGTTCAAACAAGTGCCATTAATACAGTTAACAAGTGGAGGACAGAGGAGGCTCTTAAAGAAGAAGTTACAGGTCTGTGAGAGCCAGAAATCTTGTTTGTTTGTAGGTGACCAAATACTTATTTTACCGAGGAATTTACCAATTAATTCATTAAAAATCCTACAATGTGATTTCCTGGATTCTTTCCCCCCATTCTGTCTCTCATAGTTGAAGTGTACCTAGGATGGAAATTACAGGCCTCTCATCTTTTTAAGTGGGAGAACTTGCACAATTGGTGGCTGACTAATGTTGATTTGAATTGTGTTATATGTATGTTATTGTATCTTTAAAAAAAATGTACCTCATGCAATGCTTAACACTGCTGCTGGAACAAAAATAATTTTCATATTTGGGATGAATAAAGATTCTATCTATCTATCTATGTATCTATATACATAGATGTAGACAAGAATGTAAAGTTAAATATTGTACAGTCAAATTAAATAAATATTGTTTATTGTATGAGTTTAAATACATTTACAATGAATTCCATTTTATATTTAAAATGTCCAAAATGCATACTTACATTCATACCCTCATTCTTTATATCATGATTGATTAGTTTAAACAACATTCAATATTTCATTAGAATCCAAAAGGAAAGTGAGTGTACCTGTGCCTTTACAAGGAGAAAATAAAACGACGTGCCTCTGGATATGCCTCTGCGTATGACGTCATTGCCCCCCCCCCTGCTCCTTCTTCTGCTCGTGCTCGGCTGCTTCAGCGCAGTGGTCATTCCTCTCGTGAGCTGTGTCTGTAAATGGTGAAGTCTGCGGAATAAGAGACACTCAGTACTTGAGGAACAAACAATTAGCCTTCAAAGCAGGAAATCAAAGTGGGGGCCAAGTCTGTAAAAGGTGAGGAAATACATTGTCTTTCTTCGTGTATTTGTATATCTTAATGTTAGCAAAGGCTATCATTATCGTCAGCTGAGTGATAGCTTGGGCTGGTTGTAACAGGCTATCGTTACTCGGCTTGTTGTTAATGGTTGGTTGCATGTCTATTCTCAGTTCGTCAGTCAGTATCAAAACGATATAAGATTACTAACAATGTCGCGATATCATCATGAGTCTATTATCGGTATGCAACGAGCCATATCACATATTTACTGTCATTACTGCAGGCGTCACCGCACTGGCATATCCATAGTCCGCAGTACACACACGCACGACACACACGCACACACCTTAATAGGCAGATATAAATTATTAACTTTTTTTAAAACTTCAGATTTATATGTTTTTATTTGAATGTGCATAATGACCTCAGACACGCCTTTAATGTTATCAAGACGAATCATCATATCCTAACAAGCACAAGACGGATATCTATGTAATTGTATCTTAATAATTGTTAATGTACTGTAATTATAGTCTCTCTCTGTCTATCCTGACAAACAATCACATGATTAGGCTCTAATGAATGCAGTTTCAACCCTGGAAAGGGAAAGTGACGTGACTTGTTATATCACAGTATCATCATTGTCTTTAAACTTGAGTTACCCTATTTATTGGTTAAATAACCAGATAATAGTGTTGGTCTTTGGAGTTGAATTATCAAATATAAAACACATCTTGTTGATGCAAAAATGCTGCAAATCCAGTAATGTCATTGAGTAATGTTGGCTTCATACAAACAGAGATGAGACACAACCTCTAAGATTATCCCATGCTTTATTCTCACATCGCCTAACCCTACCTCTACTGGTGTGGCAATGGCTATATTTAGAATACAAATGAAACACTTGTTCTGGTTGGTATAACGTTTTGAAGTTTTTAGATCACATAAAAAATCAATTACATTTGTGATAGTCAAACACTAACAGTGTGTCTATGAATTGTCTTCCATGTAAAATAGTTATTGCACTTGACAAATATAACCATATCCCTGATATTCAATCTGTTATGACTTCATAGAAACTTTAATGTTCTCTTTGTGGTTTCTGAGATGCCGCCATTTTTCTATACTATATTGAGTTTTTGGGCACATGGGACTACCTTTTTCCCCCCTAAAATATAATAAGTATATAAAAAAACAGTAGAACTATTAAAGACAAAATATATCAACAACAATTTGACAGATTTTATAAAATGTTTGCCCCGAGAACAATTCCATAGAGATTTCAAAATGCAGTAGTACAAATTGGAAACCCCAATTCATCTATTTCTCAGGAGTTCCTGAAGCAGACAACTAAAATCCTTCAATTCTTCTTGAGGAGTCTCTGGTATGAAGCCGATCAAATATCCACATGTTATTTCAGGATCAAATACCACCTTCGCCACGCCCACTGCCCACTGCACACTTTTGGCCGAGGAACCTGCAGAGCCTGTCTGAGCCTGCAAGCCACCGCAGGTTGAAAGGAGAGAAGACTGTGCCATGGCTCTGTTGACTCTGCGTCGGCTCCCGTCCATCTCCTCCGCTCCAGTGAGTTCAGCCATCTCCACACCACGTTGTGCACGTGCAAGTTTGCTCCCTGAGATATGAAAGAATGACCTTTTTGCTTTTTAGATAGAATGGTTTAGAACCACGAAGCATAAACGAGGCTGTTTTAGTTTTGTACTCGCTCTCAGGATAGGCCTACAGGGCAAACGTACCACAGATATATCTTTGAACTGATTACGTTTTCATTCATTGCAGCAATGTGATCAGCTTCTGTTTGTCCTTATGCTCCTGCAAACAGTGATTAATGCACACGTATTATCATCAGCTGTCTCTACCTGTATCTCCTCATTCTGTCCCTCTATCATGAAGATGGTTTACCGTCACATCCTAGGCTTTTCTTCTGCTCTTTTCCAACTGAAACGTCCTGACTCTGGGTCCACGCTTCATTTCTTTGCATATTTTGTCACAGTATCTAATCACTCTACTATCTTAACTTGTGTTCTCTCCTTTTCTTCTTCTTCAAACCCCCATCGTTCCTCTCCTGGCTCCTGCCCATTGCTCCTCTTATTTTTGTTTTCTTGACTCTGTCTGGACTTGTCAGTTGCGTAACAGGTAATGTTACTGTCTCAAGTTTCTTTCTCCGTAAACCCTCCGTACTGCTGCTACTTCTCTCTCTCTCTCTTATTGGTTCTCTCTTTTGCATTGTGCTTCTCCTTCATTTCCTATTTCACTGCAAACATAGTGGTTTTAAAACCCCCCCCCCCCCCCCCCCCACCCCCTTGTGCTAACATACCACTCTTGTGTCTGTTCACTCACTTCAGTCCTTCACTGCACCTTATCTGTGTCGCACCACATTTCACCCGAGAAATGACTGGACATTTTTTGCCAGCCCTTTTGTGTGCGCACTTCTCAACAGGAAAGACATCACTCACACTGCCTCCAATGTTCCCAGATCAGTTGTGGCGGTGTCAGTAACAAGTCGGAAATGTGCTGTTTGGGAGCATTACAAATAACTCATATTGACGAATATGAAATCCAACTCCAGCAAAGGATTACACAACAGAAATGTGACAGAGAGCTGGAATATTTAGAATGTAATTAAATTATTACTTGAGAAATCAGAATCACACATTAACACAATTATTTCGGCTTATTAGGGCCTTTGTAGGTTACAAACTTTTTTTATTCATAGGGATGGAATTCCATCCCTATGAATAAAAAAGTTTTATTTAATTTTTAATTTTTAAAAAGAAAAAATTGTTTTACTTTTACAAGAAAAAAAACACTTAAAGCTGAATTTTAAAGCGGTAAATTATACGGAAATATTCACACATTTAGGAGAAAACTACAATAATCTCTGAGATTAAAGTCACAAATTAACCAATTGCTGATAATACAAATAAAGTAATTTTCTCATCATTTGACAAACTTTTATTACGTAAGGGTTTTTCATTGGTATATTTGCCCCTACATGCCATCATACACAACAGAGGATAAACATGTTGTCCTATTCTCCCTGATGAGGCTTTCTGTGATTTTATTTATTTTATTTTTAAGAATGAAACCCTTCAGAGGAGAGCAACGCTTCAGAAAAGGTAAATGTGTACTTTTGTTGTCTTTGAATTGTCATCTGTTTAAACTCCTAGCAAAAATGATTCCCAGTGTCTGGATAACAGCGGCGTTTAACAAACTGTCCTCTGCCCCTCTGTAGGGAGAGCTTCGCCCTGGTGAAGGGGGCGGTCCTCCTGCTGGAAGAGGGTGAGAGGGTGGGCATCGATGAGGAAACTTCTTCCCCTCCACCTTCTCCTGGTAAGGAAGGCGATCGAGCGTCAGACAAACGGCACAAACAGCTTCATGCCATGGTGGAACAGCTCCGACCGGAAGACACCATGAAGCTGGTGAGACCTCAGGTTTACCGGCATGCTGCAAATACAATCAGTAGAATTGGAAAGCAGAGTGATCTGTGCTTAATTGCTCGGATTAAGGAGGATACTGTTCAACAGCTGGGGCACAGCAGGTAGACAGTCCTAATCTGTGGGGACTTTAACAGAATATTACATTTCATGTGAACGTATAAAGTGAATTCTATACTGTAGCTTTGTGTGTTTCAGTGATAGGTTTCAGTCCGTTACTGCAACACAGCGCTAAACTGGTGCTTTCAAAAGCATCATAATAATAATAATACATTTAATTTGTATAGGGCTTTTCATAATGCTCAAAGACGCTTACACTAATATTTAGTAGCCGGTATGTTTTGCAGAAAGCTGCTGGATTAAGTTCACCCTTAAGATATGAAAATGTGCTGCAGGAAACATTCTAATTCAGATATTAGATAATCCATCACGCTGAACATTTAGTTATTTTCCATGGACATCTCTTTTAGTCATGGGTTTAAGAGTTTCCCTGAAGGAGTAAAACACCACCGTTCTTTCAGATGTATTACCATGCAGAATTTGCTATGAAAGAGAGTACATCTAAAACAGAATGTGTGAAACAGCTAATAGGAAATATGTAGCATTTGGAGTTGCTAGGTTACAACATGTCAGTCCTGCTGTTAAGTGGAACATAACGAGGATCTGAGTTTCTCTGTAAACACAACATTTACTTCCCTGGTGTTCCTGGGAAGGCCAAGATAAATATGCTGCACAGGATATTTAGCGCTGTGGTTTGTTGGGTTGAATTACGTTTTACACCAGACTACAAAGGGAACAGCAATATGTGAATGTAAAGTTCAATAATTGTACTTGTCTTCTTGACTTCCGTTTCTGTCGCACTCATAATTGACCCTCTCTCACGCAGGCGGTGCAGTTGGAGTCCATCAGCTCGGTCAGAGTCAGATATCTGATCGTCGTCTGCACCGTCGGCAACAAACAAGAGAGCATCCTGCTGGGCATGGATTTCCCCAACTCAGACAGGTGTGTGTAACCAAGATGCGAGTGTACTGTGTCACAACGATAAGCTTTCCATTTGGTTAATCATTTCTGGTTTGGCTCTAAAAAGTGAAACCTCCGCTCTTTCTTGTGTTTCTGCTTCCTCCCTGCCTCGTCGCAGCGACCAGTGCACCATCGGCCTGGTCCTGCCCATATGGAGCGACACACAGGTGTATCTGGATGGAGACGGGTGAGAAGCCTTTACAAACTGGGAATGAGGAATACATTTGAACACAGGGGGAGTGTGTGAGGCTGCAGCACAGACGGTGCAGCCTGATGTCTGGGATGCTGGCCAGTGATGATGTGAAGGAGTAATGTTCTCTATTTATGGAACAGAATCATTCCCTATGAATTACAACTACTCCTATGACTCATTTAGACCCTTACATAAGCATGGAGATCATGTGCTTCTGCAATGAACCATGAAAGTGAACTATTGTTGTTTCTGTGTGGTTGAAAGTTTGTCTCTCTTAAGATTGTTGAGGCTGTTTTCTTTAGGCCTCACATTACAGTGTTCTCCTTACGTGGCGATGCTCAGAGGAGTGTGTACTGTGAAACTGAGTTAGCAGCTCAGGTGTCAACTCATGTGTTTAAACTAAGTGTGGAAAAAGATGCTCTGATTGGCTGCCATGTCCGATGCTCCCCCTGTGCTAATCCCCCCCTCCCCCCCTCACATATTTATTCTCTACATTCTTGATAAGAATCGTCACTAATTTACACTGAATAAACCCTCTCTATCTCGTAGTACGACAGCGCTTCTTATCAGCATTACTTCCTCATTTCTCAACAATTGTTATCTTCATTATTGTAACTCATGCTTCTGTCTTTTCTCCTCAGTGGTTTCAGCGTCACCGCTGCTGAAGAGACCAGAATCTTTAAGCCTGTTTCCATGCAGACCATGTGGTAATGCATTCATGACATTACCGTTGCATCACTTCTTAAAGCACCTCACTAAAAACGACATGGCTACTTGCTGTAGATCTTGCATTTAAACCCTACCTGAGTTTTTTTTAATCATCTTCTGGCCCGTCCCCCGTCCCCCCCACCTGTCAGGTCTGTCCTGCAGGCGCTGCACGGCTGCACTGAGCGCGCCGTCAGTGCAGCGGTGATCCCAGGAAACGGTCTGGAGTGGGCCGAGCACTACCACCAGCACACTGAGTCGGACCGCTTCTGCCTCAACGAGTGGGAGGCCATGAACGACCTGGAGTCAGTGCGCAGTGACGGACAGAGGTGAGGAAAACACCGCTAAACTGAGTACATGTATCCAGCTCCAATCCACCTCTGATGTGAATGTGTAAATAAAAAGTCCTAGTTTCTTCTCACCGTTTGTATACACGTCAGGTTTTACTTAAGTTTCCTTTTTTCTTGCATGGTAAGCTCGGCAAACAGATTGTCCGACGAGACGCTGATCAAAGAGCAGCTGAGAGACATCCTGAGTACTGAAGACCTGGACAACCTCACGTCTAAAATGGTAAGAAGTGCGAGCAGATATCAGGAGGAAGTTAAAGAAAGTCAGATAACTACCAGGGTTAAATATAATTTAATTAAGTTCATATATGTTTTGCATGTCTATTTATTCTGTTTAAACGCTGTATTTCTGCACAGTTGCTGGTTATAATTAGGCTGCACTCATATTATTAGTTTGACCCAATTTGTAGAATTACATCTAGCGTTGCCTCATAGATATTTCCAACCTGTTTCACAATAACTCCAGTGCTTCAAATCTATTGGAACAATTGCATTTTCGCACACACACTAACTTGCAAATCTTGACCACCATGCCGAATCTTCAGCCAGCTAGGGCAGAAAACTGAAAGATAGGGACATTTGTAGACCGATCAACATTTCCAAAATTCACAACATTTATAAAAACATTGTTTGGTGTGATGACATGACGGCAGACATTCAAACTTCAACATTTGGTAAAGCCCTAAAGCATGCATACTGTGATCTCTCCTTTACTGGTGCAGGTGCACTCCGCTCTGGAGACCAGGATAGGCTTCGACATGAAACCCTTCAAGGAGTACATAGACAATGAGATCCTGGTCACCATGGCTCAGATGGATAATCCCTCCAAAATATTTGACTTCCTTTACCTGGTGAGTGATTGCTGACATCCAAAGACCATCCATAGGCTTTAGTATACCCTCATAGCAAGAGGCCTTTCTTATGCTAGAGTTAATAGACTGAGATGTGCTTTCACCAGGATTCTGTCATGTGACCGTAACTTCCCCTTTTTGCGACGGCTGTGTCGAAAGCGATAGGGAAGACGATGTGTCGGCCCTTTCCTTTTCGTGCACTCGACTCACCCTTCTGCTTCTGGTTTCAGGGCTCTGAGTGGAACGCAGCTAACTTTGAGGAGCTGCAGAAAAACAAGTCAGTGTTTCCAGCATTATTTATAGATCTGTTTTGTATTTGAGGTTCCCATTGTCTCATGAACCTCATGTGTATACTTAAATTGTGCCATTGTGTTTAGCTGAGTCATCACCTCTGTGGCTCTAACTTTGTGCCTTTTTGTCTTTCAGTGTGGGATATATTCTGAATGTGACCAGGGAGATTGACAACTTTTTCCCAGAGTCCTTCACTTACATGAACATCCGAGTGTACGATGTGGAGGCCAGCGACCTGCTGCCTCACTGGACCGACACGTTCAATTTCATCAACACGGCCAGGTAGTCCTGCAACCCCAAACGCATCACAACACACCGTACATGCAAACTAAAAAGCATTGTGCAGTATTTAGCAGAGAACAGTTGTAGAAAGCACAATCACATGTGTGTCCTTAACTCTATAACATATTTAGAGTGTG